TGTCCCAACTTTTTCCAGTCATGCTCAACGGGCGCTTTCACTCTTATACACAGAAATCCACATGGCAATTGAAGATCGACACAACATCTCATACCCAAATACAGTATGGTAGCTGACAATGTGTGGAATTCATCTGCTTGCTTTTTATCAAGTAGTTGGATGTTCTTTCCATTTGTCTTTAAAAGGTATTCTGTTGCTGCTGTCGGTTTCTCACCAATCATGTAACTCAGGAACTTGTCTATGATTTTCTTGATATAGTCATACATGGTTATTTCCACCTGTCTGTCTGCGGTGAAGTCCAGGGTCATGCCAAGGTATTCATGAACTTTTCCCCAGGTAATAGTTAGAGGATCAGTTTTCCCATACACAGCCGTGAGCTGTTTCAATACGTTGGTCACAGTAATAGGATCAACGTGATTGACAATTCCATCATCCACATGAAATACAATCGTCAGTTGCAATTTGTTCACTGTTTTATTCCATACACACGCATTGTATGGGTTCATCTCTAAACCCCACTCCTGTAAATGTCCAGTGAGTTTCTTGTACGTGAGTATGGCTGCATTCAATGTTCCATAGATCGCTTTCTTGCATAGGACATAGATGACTGGTCAACCTTTCTCCTTTCGTAGATGCTTTTGCCATCGGTCCTTGTTGTACTCAACGAGTAGTAGAGCTACTGCTCCACTGATCTTGAGGTAGAGTTCTTCATCCATGTCAGTCTGCAGGAACTGTGCCGGTAGATCAAATGTGGCTATATTGCGTTGTTCCATGGCAATGATTGCCAACACATATTTCAATGCCTCTGCTGCTGGTGTCGGTGATGATACATTGTGTTTGTCAGTCCATATGTGTTGTGGTCTTCCATCTGCACATCCTCGTGACTTTAGCTGCCTGCTACGCTTGAAGATCATGAACATGAGCATTGGTAATGCGTTTCTTTTCTGTTCACTACTCAGACTCTCGTACTTCACCTCACCAAAACAGTCACGTGATACCAGGTTACCTAGTTCTTTCATCACATTTCAGACCCTCACGCACACTCATTTGTGTCATGGCGTAGTCACTGATAAAATCATAATAGTTGAAATTATCTTCTATGAAGTTAAGTGCCTGGTGAACATAGTTCTGGTGTTCATGTTGTGATAAAGATCAGATCTTCTCTGGTGATGTAAAGTCTGCCATATTGCAAACGTGAGTGAGTTCTACATCACATCCAAGGTTGTCGATGGCTTCATCAACAGTCATGTAGATGAAATCATCATCTTGTGTGCTTCTCACGATTCGTCTACTTTGGGTGCGGATTTGGTCATCCTCTGGTGGTCCATCATCATCGGAAAGTTCCGCATCCACTCCTGTAATTTCATCATTGTGATCCACTCCTGTAATCTGCTCATCATCATTGACTTCTGTGCTGTCTTCATTCTCTGGTTCAAATATGATCTCTATCTGACTGTCTGTCAAACTGTCCTCATCCAAGTCATGGGGGGGTCCACTCCTGTAGTTCTGATATTGTCTATGGGATCAGTGTCGGAACTAGAATCTTCTGTACTGGATAGTGAGTGAGAATCAGGATCAGGCAGGAGATCAACCATGATATCAGCATGAATTGCAGGGTCGTAATCCTCATCATCAGGTTCATCATCATCGGAATCAGACACATCCAAGATGTTATTCCTATTACCAAAATGTAGTCCTGATTGACTCTTCTGTGCCATTTGGTGCATCTGTGTGATTATGTCAGCTGGCATAGGAAGTAGTTGGTAGTTGTCTTTGGTCTGAGTGAGGATCCTGCCTGTATCAAGGCTAAAGAATAACACTCCTCCCTGGAGAATTCCAGATGGTCCAATTGCGATGGTGCCTACAGTGCATTCTCACATTGTGTTATCTGTCCCTTCATAGGTTTGGGCATATTCTTGAAAGATAACTTGGAAATGAAGCTTGTAACTGAGGACATAGCCCTTGATCAACGTAAGAGGACTAAGTTCCTTCAATACAACATCAGGCCATGGAAATGCATTGAGGTAGAAGACTACATTTTGAAGCAATGCGATAAGGAGTCTCTTGGGAATCTGTTCGAATGGCAGCATTGCGAAGGATGATCTGCACCGCTCCTTTATCACCCGGATGAATCGTTCAATCTCCAGAACATGCTCTTCCTTTGATACAATGTTCACCGATATCTGGTGTGCTTTGAAACGTTCAGCAAGGGATTCAAATTGCATGTCCATCATGATGTGGTCTACAGTAAATCCTCACAACTGGTAGGATTGTGATACTGCCAATAGTGCTCGTTTGAGGTCATTTGACTTCAGTGTGGGCAACACGCACACTGTTCCATAGTGTATTCCACAAGAGATTGTGGCAAGGAACGGGATCTGATTGACATGAAGAACATCAGCAGCTATGGTCACATTCTTGTAATCCTCAAGAATATTAGGTGGCAGTGGGACGAGTTCCTCTGTCTCCACCTGGTCGCTCTGTTGAGCTGTCTGTTTTCCCTTCAGACCGTACACACTAGGACCTAGCATCTTTTTTGCTATTCCTACATCTTGGACAGTGAAAGGAAAATCATTGATTGATCGTCACGCTCCTGTTGCAGCAATGGCTTGATCACTAGGATGTGCAGCAATATGTTGGAAACGCCGAAGTTTCTCTGCCTTAAGAACATCGCATTTGGTGTACTTTTCCTTGTTATTTTTCACTGTCTCAATGGCACCATGTTCTGTAAGGTTTGTGCCCCTTGATGATATATTATGCGTTGTGAGTACTGTAGCGCCAAATACTGTATTGGATTTGCTGCTCCAAACTATCAGCACAGTCATAATAATACAGCCCTTTTCCGTCTGGTTGAAAATGGCACATTTTTCCATCTGGTGTTTCCATTTGGAAAGACTTGTCTTTCTTTCCTCGTGAATTGGCCCAGCTGGTGTAATCAATCTCAAAGCCTTCTGTTTCTTGAATTGCATGGAATGATAGGATGTTTGTGATCCCCTCACGGTGTAGCCACACTGTTCTGACTCCTGGTAGTTCACCTATTTCATTTATAGTTGCACTTCCCGCATTTGTATGGAGTATGAGTTGTTTCTTTGTGTTGCAAATGTTGAAGAGGAACATCGGATTCCAGAATATAAGGATAGTGGATTGGATGTCTAGCAGAACCCAGAACCGGTCAAGTTGTCC